AAGGTGTCCCTGCCCATGGCAGAGGTGGCACTGGATGGGCTTTAAGGTCCCTCCAACCCAAACCATCCTGGGATCCCACGTGGCACCTTGTCCATACTCTCATTCCATGTTTGTACAGAAGAAGCCTGAGCTATCAATGAAGCACCTGAATCCCACATTCCCGGGAATAAGAAGTTCCTTGGGGGAAAAGAAGCCCTGAGGGCTGAATTGAGCTTGTCCTGCTCCAGAGCTCTGTTCTGGCCCAACACCAGGACAGGGCCACCAACCAGGACAAACACAGACCATGGCACAGCTCGGGGGCTTTGGGGGTAAATCTTCATCAACAGGAAGAGAACAGAGTGTTCTGGAATGCCAACCTCAACATTCCAGCCTGGAGACAGGCTGCAGGATGACCCAGACCCCAAGATGCTCCTGTTGGGAACCTGAGCCCTGAGCTGTCTTTCCCAGCCCTCCCAGTCACTCCCATTCCCTGGGCACAGGATGTACTGGTGCAGAAATGGGATTTCACTACAGTCTGAGGCTGTGCTTATCCAGGGAATCTCTGCCCATGTGCTGAGACCTGCACTGAGCTGCCTCCCTCCAGACGGAATTCCATCCCCACACTCTGGAATTCCATCCTTCCCCGGCTGACCAAGGTGGATTCCTTGAGCCTCAAACCATTTTCCAGCTGGTGAGTCATTCCAAGAGCCCTTCAGAATCCTGCCTGGCAACGCTGGATCCATCCCACAGGGCTGGATCACGAAGGGAGGGCTGATCCATCCTCCGGAGCTCCAACCAGATGGGAAGTTCGTGGAGCTCTGGAAGTTTGTCCTTCTCACACACGAAGGATCTGCCACATCCCACACAGCCAACCACGGATAACACGGGAGAAACCCCTGGCCTTTGCTGAATTCCCTCTTCCCAGGGTAATTCCCAGCCCTCCAACCCACATTCCTTGCTTGCAGCCACATCACCTGGCAGGGTCTGCTGGAATGGGAAAACCCCACGGCCCTGGAGCAGCTCCTCTGCTGTTTGTGATGCCCACAATCCCTATGGACACGGGGTTTGGGAACACTGAGAGAACCCATGGAATCACGGAATCACTGAGGCTGCAAATCCCTCGGGGACATCAAGTCCAACCCTCCCCAGCACTGCCAAGGCCACCCCTGCCCCACGTCCCCCAGTGCCACATCCACAGGGCTCTGAAACCCCTCCAGGGATGGGGACTCCCCCCTGCCCTGGGCAGCCCCTGCCAATGCTTTACAGCCCTTTCCAGGAAGGAATTTTCCCATTATCCAACCTGACCCTCCCCTGGCACAGTTTGAGGCCGTTTCCCCTTGTCCTGTGCCCCATTCCCTGGGAGCAGAGCCCGACCCCCCCCGGCTCCCCTCTCCTATCAGGGAGTTGTGGGGAGCAAAGCTCTCCCAGTCTTAATTCCATTTATTTGTACCTAAACCCCAGAGGCACCAAGGAATCCCAAACCCCCTCCATGAAGGCCCAGGATTCCATGGAGCCCAGCAGCAGGTGCATCTCCAGCTCCCACAGAACCCCCCCCCCCCGGGACATTAATTGTGTTTCCCATCTCTAATTCTTCGCTGATTTAATTAATTGCCTCGTTATTGACACTTCAATTTCCTCAATCACCCATTTCATCCCCTCCAGAATATCAGGATGACACAGTCCCTCCACCCAGCCTTTGGAATGTCAGGGATGAGCACGATTCCCAGGCATCACCAGCAGACAGCCCCTCAGCGAGGCTCTTGGAGATACTTTGGGATCTGTTATTCAAGCCTGTTAATTTGGGGCTGTTTATTTTTAGCAAATACTATCTCACTTTCTCCTTGGTTACAGCTGGGAAACTTTCTGTTCCAAGCACATCATATGGAGAGATACATCCTCCTGATTTGTTCCAAACTCAGAGCAGAACATTTCTGCCTTTTTTTTTTCCTTTTTTTTTTTTTGCACCAGAATATACAATTTTATCATTTGCATATGGAAATGGAGCTCGACCAGCCCCTTTTTTTTTTTCATCTCCTAATGCTCTAAAATTTCTTATTATCTTTAAATACTGGCCTTTGATATTTCCTTTGGCTCCTCTTCCCAACCTCCTACACACTGGAGCTCAAATTATCCGCATTTCCTTCTCCTTTCCTTGCTAACCTTTCCAGCAGGGAGGGATCCGGGAATGCTTCCCTTCCCCTTCATCCCCACACTCCAGTGGGTGAAGTTTGCCCAGCAGATTTTTTTCCCCCCCTGATTTTTGGGCTCCATTTAGCAGCATGTCCTCAAAAAACCTTNAAAAAAAAAAAAAAAGGGGGGGGAAAATGGGGCAACGGGACTAAATGTATCCGTTTTTCCCAACACAATAGGGGCAAGATTGATCCGGGAAAAAAAAAATGGATGCCATTTTGAGCCGTGAAGTTTCACTTCATGCTACACACGGACAGACACGTATGTCACATCCATAGGGAAGGGGAGAGAGAGGGAGGAAGGGACAGCAACCATATTCCAACAGGGATGCAAACACACCCACCGGCCCCGAGCCCTTCCATGGGCAGAACAAAGGCGATCCAGGAATCCCCCCCGAAATTCCCCCCCGGAGATCAAAGCCCGAATCCGCAGCCGCACCGAGGTCCGGGGAAGGAGCAGCACTCCCCAGGAGCTGCTTCCAGCTTTCCCTCCCACACCTTGCTACATCCTACATGGAAGGGACAGAGCTGCACCATTGTCCCCCTGCTCCCACTGTCCCTCTGCTTCCAAGAGCCTGGAAGTGCCGGGGAGGGACGGGGCTCTCCGGCCGGAGGCGTTCCTGCCTCCCGAGCACGGGAGCTGAAGCCTGTTCCCTGTATCCATACGAGCACATTCATTCCCGGTCCCCAAGGGCCTCTTTTTTTTGCAGCACAAAGATGGATTTCTGGCAGGAGAAGCCACAGGAACCACCCACCCGAGGTCCGGCCGCGGGAGCAGCCCGGGGTGCCCCGGGAATGAGCGGCACGGGATCGAAGGGACGGTGGGAGCTGCGGGACACACCTCTCCCGGTTTTCCCCGGGGAACCCCAGCGCCACCAGGGCTCCTCAAAGGACCCCAGCTCCCCCCAGCCAAAGTACAGTGAAACACTTCCAGCGTTCGAACCGAAAACGCCACGGGTGCCACGGGGCTGCACCCGGGTCACGCTCCCGGGGAACGGGGAGGAGTGAACATTCCCGGGATCTCAGAGCCACCAAGAGCAGCACCCGCACCAGAACCCCCCGGAAAGTGGGAGCGATGCCCGCCCGCCACGACGGCACCCGGGCAAGGAGAGAGCCGGAGAAGAGAGTCCCCTGAAGAGCCCCTAATTCCCAGGGCTGCCGGGCAGGGGAATTTGGGGATCCGGAGCCCGGGTAGGGTGAGGAGAAGGCGCTTCCCGCCCCAGCCCCAGAGCCAGCGAAAGAAGCAGCCCTTACCTTTGGCCCCTCGCAATACAAACCCGAATCCCTCATGCTCCCTCTTCTGCAGCACGGCCGTCTTCTCCTCAATGATGTAGTCACTGGGCAGGAAAGAGCACAAGAGAATGATGCCAGGGTTAGATTTCAGCACCATGCTGCCAGGCGGAGGTGGCCTTTGTGCCTGTGACAAGGAGACCTCTTCTCATCCACCGTCTCATCTCAGCGGGGAGTTGGGCTCAAGCTGCTTCCCCTCCCCTCCCTTTTGCCCAAAGTCAGAATGAAAAAAGATGAAAAGCTACTTTCCCTCAGCGTGGAGGAGGAGGAGGAGGAGGAGGAGGAGGAGGAAAGCCCCGGCTGCCTGGATCACCCTGCTGCCCACCGGGCCCCCTCGCAGTCACCTGCATAGGAATGCAGGGATACAGATCCCCTCGGGATCCCCTTTAAAGGCTGCCCGGAGCGTGGGGGGGCATCGGGGGATCGGCTCTCTCAGACTTCCCGGTTGCCTCTCACGCGGAAAAAAAAAAAAATCGGCCGCTCGACGAAAAGGAGAAGGTGCCTCTTTGGTGAGTTGAGCACGGCAGAGTTTAAATCCTCATCCCGGCGCTCGGATCTTCTCCTAAAATCCCCCCCTCCCTCCCCGCCGCGTTGCTAAGTGACGGTCTGCCAGGAGCAGGGGGGATGCATTTCCTTGTCCCACTTTAACAAAG